AATTAAGGATTATTTTGATGTTACATCATTGCCTTTTCTCTTTTACTTTCCTTTTTAGTTTTATTTTAGGATTCCCTATTTTTAATGTTCATACAGAGATTTCTTTAACTGAAATACCGAATAGTTTCTTTGGTGCGAAAAACTATAATAGTACACAGGATCCTAATGCGAATTAATAATGTGAAATAGGAAGTAAAGGGCTGAAGGTGTAAGGAAAGTGGGAAGGGTGGGGGAAAGGTAATAAGGGAGAGGAAAAAAATATGAGAAACTGAAAAAATGGAAATAAAGTGTTTGTAAATGGGGAGGGGAGGAGGGGGTGAAGGGAGGGCAGGGACAAGGGGAAAAATGAGAATCAAGACCTATTATGTAAAAGTACAGAACCCCAATGATGAATGTAACTGTATTGTATACCTAGATTGTACCAATAACCTCAATAAAAAAGGAAAAAAAAATAGTACATTGAACCCTGAGTACTGATTTCTGAGCTACAACACTTAATGATGATTCTGCCCAGCTCCCTTATAGAATCCCATTTTCTATTTTCTTACCTCTACATCCATCAGTATCTCTAGGAAAATGTGGTAATTGTCTTCTGTAAACCGCAGTGCCATTATCATATCTAATAAAATGGACTGTAATTACCTGGCACCACCCAGGGAAGATCATATTGTTATGAAGAACAACAGTGTTGTCTTTGGTGAGTAATTTTGTTCTAGTTAGGATCCATATGAAGTCCATCCATCACATCTTTGGTTGTGTCTCTTTACCTGAATCTAGAGCAAGTACTCCTCTCATTCCCCTTTTTCCCATGTAACTGACTTAGAAAGACTAGGTAGTCTGTCCTTTATTCTTTATTCTGCATTCTGGGTTTGTGTTTGCTCCCTCTGGTCCTTTAAATTGTTTCAGTGTACCATGAATGGAGCCCTGTCCCCCTATTTGAAATGTAAGTCCAAGATACCAGATTTGACAGCTGTGTTAACATACATAACACAAACAGCCTAGCAGAGAAAATATGGCTCATAAATACGGTGATGAAGACTTAGTAATACAGTTACTGATTAACCTCTGCATGAGAGTTTGACGCAAGTTCCATGATAAAGGGTGTTACATCTGCTGGAACTCACAACTTTATTATAGAGAATCAAAAAATCTCTAGTGAGTGGAAATACTCATTGTGATAAATTTCTTCAAAAGGAATCCATAGATTTGCTTGAAGTAACTGACCTTTCAGCTTGAAAGGACATTGTCCAAGTTAGAGGACCCCAAGTTCTTGTCTGTTCCAATCTGTGTGTGATGACTGGTTTTTCTGATGTGGTAAGCTTCACATGTTGCATTTTCTTCCTAAGTGATCACTAGAATGGAGAGGAATT